CTAAAATACTTTGTCCTCTGCATAGGTTACACTTATGTAAAGAAGCAAACAGCCCATTTTATACTGTACTTGGAGAACCATCTGTCTGCAATTCAAACAGCTACTTCAAGATCAAAAGGCTGCTCTCACTGCAGACTCTGGACAACAGTTCATTTATGCCACTATGTCTCATCAGGATTTTGAAACAGTTTCCAGTTAGAAAATTTCAAACTGAAAAACACAAGAGCTGGAGCATAAATAAAGACAGTTATGGATTTAGAATATTTAGGATTAATACCTTTTGCATAATCAAAACTAGGCATTCTTCCTTCAAATTTCTTTAAAGGTCAAATTAAGTTGCTATTTTAACAGAGCAGCGAAGAACAATAAAACTAAAGTTTTGTTCAAGGTAAATCGAGGCTAACATTAGGGATGAATTGGCTACATAAGAGTTTCGAGAATTAGTCCACTCAAGCCAACTGAAAAAGCAGATGTTGATCTTGAACAAAGCTACTTAATGTTCAAATATTTGCTAGTTTAACCACTTACTCAGAAAGCTCAGCTCTAAAGCGCCAATTCCTGCTGTTATCTGTTACCATAAATTCTTGGAGCTGACAGAGGTACTCCCTTCTCTTTTCTGCTTGGAGTAACTGTGGAACAAAAAAAAAACACTCAGGTGGCAGACGTACTTGAAAATGGGCGATTTAAATGGAATATGGACACTTAGAAACATGTATTAAAAAAACCAAGGTAATTGGCACAAATCTGACTAGTACAGACTACCTGTAACATTCAACTTTAATATTTTCTGGTCAGAACTTAATATGCTAGGTATCAATGTTCACAACCACGTTGGTGTCCTAGTTCAAAATAGTTAGAGTTTGCAAATTGAATGCTATACTTTGTTGTAAATATATTTAAATATCGCTAGAAAAAGACATATTTCATCTGGGCTTTTAACCCTGCATTCCAAGACAATTCACAAGAAATACCAATGTAAAAAGGTAAAGCAACCTTGTTATACCGCACAAGGACAGTTGGCTATATTCTTCATTGGCAGAGTCATTGCCATGGAGAATGCACCAATAAGATGTCAGGCTGTTAATTGCCAATTTTCTTTTAAATTTCAACCAGGTAGTTCTAGCAAGACTCTAGTTCATTTTGTCAGGACAATTTCTTAACCAGAGAATGACTGCATGAAAAGCTTGAAGAAATGTGTTTTCTTTCAACAATACTCATGCACTAGCAACTGACTACTTACGTATGTAAATATTTTGCAAACTTTGTACAATCACTAAATTAAAAACAAGAACACGTGTACATTTTGCTAGTATCCATGGCAAACATTTCCGTGTCAGGTACAGCATGAAGCAAATAGAACATAGAACATACAACATTACAGCGCAGTACAGGCCCTTCGGCCCTCGATGTTGCGCTGACCTGTGAAACCAATCTGAAGCCCATCTAACCTAAACTATTCCATTATCATCCATATGTTTATCCAATGACCATTTAAATGCCCTTAAAGTTGGCGAGTCTACTACTTTTGCAGGCAGGGCATTCCATGCCCTTACTACTCTGAGTAAAGAACCTACCTCTGACATCTGTCCTATATCTATCACCCCTCAATTTAAAGCTATGTCCCCTCGTGCTAGCCATCACCATCCGAGGAAAAAGGCTCCCACTGTCCACCCTATCTAATCCTCTGATCATCTTGTACGTCTCTATCAAGTCACCTCTTAACCTTCTTCTCTCTAACGAAAACAGCCTCAAGTCCCTCAGCCTTTCCTCATAAGACCTTCCCTCCATACCAGGCAACATCCTGGTAAATCTCCTCTGCACCCTTTCCAATGCTTCCACATCCTTCCTATAATGCGGTGACCAGAACTGTACGCAATACTCCAAGTGCGGCCGCACCAGAGTTTTGTACAGCTGCAACGTGACCTCATGGCTCCGAAACTCAATCCCTCTACCAATAAAACCTAACATACTGTACGCCTTCTTAACAACGCTATCAACCTGGGTGGCAACTTTCAGTGATCTATGCACATGGACACCGAGATCTTTCTGCTCATCCACACTACCAAGAATCTTACCATTAGCCCAGTACTCTGTATTCCTGTTACTCCTTCCAAAGTGAATCACCTCACACTTTTCCGCATTAAACTCCATTTGCCACCTCTCAGCCCAGCTCTGCAGCTTATCTATGTCCCTCTGTAACCTGCAACATCCTTCCGCACTATCCACAACTCCACCGACTTTGGTGTCATCCGCAAATTTACTAACCCATCCTTCTACGCCCTCATCCAGGTCATTTATAAAAATGACAAACAGCAGTGGCCCCAAAACAGATCCTTGAGGTACACCACTAGTAACTGAACTCCAGGATGAACACTTCCCATCAACCACCACCCTCTGTCTTCTTACAGCTAGCCAATTTCTGATCCAAACCGCTAAATCACCCTCAATCCCATGCCTCCGTATTTTCTGCAATAGCCTACCGTGGGGAACCTTATCAAATGCTTTACTGAAATCCAAATACACCACATCAACCGCTCTACCCTCATCCACCTGTTTGGTCACCTTCTCGAAGAACTCAATAAGGTTTGTGAGGCACGACCTACCCTTCACAAAACCGTGTTGACTATCCCTAATCAAATTATTCCTTTCTAGATGATTATAAATCCTATCTCTTATAATCCTTTCCAACACTTTATCCACAACCGAAGTAAGGCTCACTGGTCTATAATTACCAGGATTGTCTCTACTCCCCTTCTTGAACAAGGGGACAACATTTGCTAGTCTCCAGTCTTCTGGCACTATTCCTGAAGACAATGACGACATAAAGATCAAAGCCAAAGGCTCTGCAATCTCCTCTCTAGCTTCCCAGAGAATCCTAGGATAAATCCCATGGGATTATGGGATTAAAAGATCCGTTGAAGATACTTCAGTATTGCTTTGGTCCAAAGTCAGACAGAAAATGATTCTATACTTTAGCATTTCCAGCTTCTTCCACATTGTGCCCTCATGGTAGACATTATTTTATCACCAATCATTCATTTTTCACATCTGTGCAATACAAACAGGACCGGCTAGACAGCAATCAGGAGTGCCTATCGTAGTTGATGCTCTCTTTGAACAGACTGATTTTGTTGTACTGGCTGCGACCACAGGTCAAAAATCACTAATTCAGCAGATCAAAGCCACAAATGGTGTTAATCATGCGACTACCTACTCTTTAAATTCACTGAATTTCTCTTCCACCTTGAGTGATATTATCTTTTTCGTACCAAACTATGGTCAGTTTTATACTGTGGTCCATTACTTATAATGAATGGCAACACGACTAACATGATTTCAGGAAGGATTGCTATAACCATAAAAAGACTACTTCCGTCTTATCCTTCGAGGCTGCATTTAAATCAAAGTCCCTGTTAAAAGCTTGCACCATTCAGTCACTTTGTTGTTGCTGTGATACAACAGATAGTTACTAATTTGGAAATTACCTTCAAGAAGTCATACAAGTGTTTCAGGACTCCTATCCGTACTTCATCAAGATCCTTTAAAAATCCATTAAAAACTGGAACTAGATCTGCTGCTGTCAGCTGGTCTCCAAGAATGACTGCCAGCTCATGAATGGAGAATGCAAGAGTCCTTCGAACTTTCCACTGAAATAAAGTAAAACAACAAACATTTCAAGCAAATCAATCAGAACAACACTACTAAATGTTGAACTCTGCATTTTAACTCTGCAGAATTCTCTCAAATGTTGCTGCATCTGCAGAACTAAACTAGAAATGAGGAGACTATTCCTCAATACAAGGCTCTCTTTGGCAACAAAAGCAAGGTATTGCAGATTCTGGCGATCTAAAGTAAAGTTCTGGAGAAACTCAGCTGGTCTAGCAGCATCCGTGGAGAGAGAAGTAAACTAATGTTTTGCGTCCAATATAACATCTTTGGAACACTAATGGCATTAAGGGATGAGCAATAAATGCTGGCCAAGCATCAACAACTACAACCCATGGATTAAATTAATATTTAGGTCTGAGGCACCTGTACTGATTCTTATGATTTTATATCTTGCCAAACAGGAATTGTTCATTTATGCCTTCTCTTTTTCTCCTCCCCATTAGCTAGTCGAGCTTCTATCCATGCCACTATGTTACTTCCTACATAAGGAGCTTTTATTTTCTTTGCCATGACATCTCATCAAATGCTTTATGGAAACCAAGGTACAGCAAATCCACTGATTCCCCTTTATCTACAGCACATTATTTTTTCAGACTTCAAGAAACTCAGTTAAAAATGATTTTCATGATTTTAAATCATGTGCGTGAACGCATGGAGTTATACTAAAAAAATAAACCTAACCTTTACAAAGAAAAGGGAATACAAAGACAGACAGTAGGAACTCAAGTGATATTTCAGAGAATGTAAAAAAAAATTTATTTATGGCATGTGGATGTCACTGGCTGGGCCAGCATTAATTTTTCAATGCCCTTGAGAAAGTGGTTGTGAGCTGCTTGCTTAAACTGCTGCCATCCATTCGCTGTAGGTAGACCCACACCATCAGGAAAGGAGTTCCAGGAGTTTTGACTCAGTGAAACTGAAGGAACAGAAATATATTTCCGAATCAGGATGGTGAATGGCTTGGAGGGGAACTTACAGGTGGTTTTATTCCCATGGCTCTGTTGCCCTTTATCCTCCCGATGATATTGGTTGTGGGTTTGGAAGGTGCTGTCTAAGCAGCTTTGATAAATTTCTGTAGTGCATCTTGTAGAAGTTACACACTACAACTACTGAGCATTGGTGGTGGAGGGAATGGATGCTTGTGGATGCAGTGTCAATCAAGTTGGCTGCTTTGTCTTTGATGTGTTCAGGCTTCTTGAGTGTGATGTCGGAGCAGCACTCATCCAGGCAAGTGGAGAGTATGTCATATCACTTGTGCCTTATAGATGGTGGACAGGCTTTGATGAGTTACTCACCATTAGGATTCCTAACCTCCAACTGCTCTGATAGCCATGGTATCTATATGGCTGGTCCAGTTCAGTTTCTGGTCAATGGTTATGCCCAGAATGTTGGTAGTGGAGGATATATTGATGATAATGCTACTAAATGTGAAGTGGCAATGATAAGGTTCTTGCTTGTTGGAGATGGTCATTGCCTGGCACTTGTGTAGCACAGATGTTACTGGTCACTTGTCAGCCCAAATCTGGATATCGTCCAGGTCTTACTGCATTTGGAGCGGACTGCTTCAATGTTTGATGAACTGCAAATGGTGCTGAACATTGCTCGATCGGCAGCAGACATTCCTACTTCTCACCTCATCATGGAGGGGAGGCCAATGATGAAACAGTTGAAGACAGTTAGGCCTCAGAGTTCCCGGAGCTGAAATGACTGAAATTAATCAACCAAACAATCTTTTGTGGCAGGGAGTGTAATTTTACTGCTGCCAATGGCCCACAGCCCTCACGAATGCCCAGTCTTGAATTACTAGATCTGTTCTAAGTCTATCCCATTCAGCACAGTGATACTACCTCACAACACAAAGTAAAGTACTTTCAATATCTATACGTGACTTGGTCTCCATGAGGACTGTCGGTGGTCACTCTTACTGGTACCGTCATGGAGAAATGAATTTGTGGCAGGCAGATGAGGTCAAGTATGTTCTTCCCTCCTGCCGATTCCCTCAATATCTCCCACTAATTAGCACGTCAGATCAGATAAGGATGGCAATTTTCCTTTCCTAAAGTTCATTTGTGAATCAGATTTTTTTGAACAACAATGGTTTCATGGCAATCATTAAGACTTCAATTCCAAATTTTAATTGAACTCAAGTTCCACCATCTGCTATGATGTGATTTCAACACTAGTCCCCATAATATTATCTGAGTCTCTGGATTACTAGTCCCATGAAAATACCACAAGGACATTTCCTCCCCGTAAAATGAATGTTATTATGACATGGAGACAGACATCCGAACCAAAATCAGCCTTTTGACCTCTGTATTCATACCACAGTAAAATTAAAATCTTCAAAATTAAAAAAAAACGTTTGTTTGGTCTGTGTTTCTTTTAACACAAGATGCTACTCAGTCCAAAAGTCATCAGTAGCTAACTGTTCCAAATCAAAATTGATAAAAGAATAAAAGAAAAATAATGAAAAATCAGCAAGAGCTCTAACAATGTGCAAATTCAGACAGTAGCAGATGAATTCTATACAGAGGTTTATCATACCCAAACCCAGTTTTCCTCTCATTCAACGTCCAATTTTGAAGAAATGTTTTTAAATAAATAACCGGAGGCAGTGAGGTCAAATGTCTTAAAGTTGAAAATCATAAATCTTGTGGGTCATGCTGTTATAGTTAAGCTCATTAAAAGAGGAAATTCAATTACTTTCAACAGGTTTTTCTCCATATAAAAACCGCTCTGAACGTACAAGCATATTTAACTATTTTCCAAAATGCATAGTTAAACTCAATACCTGCATATCTGAGGCCAGTATTTCATATGTATTTTTCAGACAGTGCCAGTTTTGCCTACCCAAAGTGAATGCAACACCAGGGAGACTGTAAGCACAATGCTTTGCTATCTCTGTATCAACAGTCTGGGCACGTGAAGGATCAGTCATTGAAAGATATTGATCCAGCAATGCTTGAGGGACAACATCCTGAAAATGACAAGAAAAAAGTTACATTAAAAATTTTCTGTATCTTGCAAAACAAATTTATTGCACCATATTCAGAGCTCTGTCAACAATTACACATCTCATTACCATTCAACCTCTTCCTACCCTCCAAATCTCCCATTGGCACATATAGAATTATTACAACACAAAAAGGGAGACCATTCTGTCTCGTGCCAGCACGAGCTCTCTGAAAGAGAAATTCTGTGAATTTTTGTTATATCATGACTGCTCATGCATCTGCAATATACGAAACCATAGAGAAACCTTTCATCACCATGTGTAACAAATAGTGAAAGATTTTCTAAGTGCCCTCAGTAAAGTACTGTGCATTTGCTAAACTATTCATTTTAATAGGAACTGTTTATTGTAACTATGGAAGCAGGATTTTTACAAGATTGGTGTTCTCCATCTCAAACTGAACCACAGAAGACACATTTCAGGATTAGTAATTCTGTATTTAACAAACACAATTTCCCTATATAATGCAGAGTGCGAGGTCAAATCAGTAACCTCAGACTCCCTTCTCAAATTCATTTAATTAATTTTGGATAGAGGATAGGTATGAACACAAGTTATGAGTGCCTGCTTTTGTAGTGCTGCAGGCAAACAAACATTGAAAACTTAAGTCCTTTCTTCGCCAACACTTGAAACCAATTATAATAAGTATTTTCTAATAAGACAATTATGCAAAATTGTGTTATTCACAGAAACAACCAGGGTTAATTGATGAGTTGTGCAACTTCCATTTACTGCTTAAACAAAGCACTATTTTCAGACTACAACACTGCAATAATGTGTTTAATCAGCTGCAGTACACCCAGCATGATATGACCTGGGGTGGCATCGCAGCTCAGTGGTTAGCACTGCTACCTCACAGCACCAGAGACCTGGTTCAATTCCAGCCTTGGATGACTGTCAGTGTGGAGTTTGCATGTTCTCTCCGTAGTTAGAGAACTAAATTGCCTATAGTGTCCAGGGATATGCAGGTTAGGCGAGTTAGCCATGGCAAACTTGAGGTTACGGGGATAGGGTGCGCATCTGTGTCTGGCTGGAATGTTCTTTGAAGGGTTGGTATGGATTCAATTGTAGGGATTCTATTCAATGAATTTAACACCAAACATTCCCATTTTAGTAATAATTTAAAAAGCAGTTATATATACCTACGCACAGTTTGCTGAGCATGTCAACTTCTTGGCAAAGGTTAATACATGAAGTCACATGGTGGGTATTAATAGGCTATTTGACCACCAAGACATTACAACCAGATTTTAACTGCATCTTCCAGAAGCTGTAAAACGCGCACTTTCCACATGAGATACTGATGGCACTGGCCCCTGATCACAATCCAATCCAAATCCAGGAGATTAACTCAACAGAATAGACAAATCAAATTCAGGGTCTTCGTGATCCACAAAAATGGTAACTTTAGAAAATTAAAAGTATGTTTTCTGAAGGATCAGTTGAAATTTTATTTTTTCAGTCACAGGTTTTATTGTGAATGTACTGTATCCATTGCATCCATTCTATGGCTGTTAACCTGAAAAGTTTGCACAATGTACACAATCGTATCTTTGTTTTATTAATGACTTTTGTTACCCAGAGATGGCTGGGGAGTTGAGGGGCTGAGCCCGGGGCTAGTCCGTTTCTGTCAGCTTTCTTTTTCTTTTGATTTTTTTTTAAAATCGTTTTTTTTCCTTCATTTTCTTGTCTTCTGGGCCTCTAGTGGCAGTGCCAGGATGAGCCCAACATGGCTCCACTCTAGGGCAGGGCCTCCAGGCAAGTGATGAACAGAACCTGAGCTGACTCCAACGGCATGGACTCGCAGGCTAGGCCATGGCTCCAGGTCCATATCTACGTCTGACTGCCTGAAGTAGAAGGGCAGTCTCACAGTGTGGCGGTCTTCTTCATCTTCGGCATCCAGGTGTTCTGCCAATCTTGTTCAGGAGTGGTGGTCTCAGCTCACCATGGCGGTCTTCTTTGGCAGCGGCTTCCAATCTAGTATCCAGTGGCCCGGCGTGGTGGTCTCGTTTCAGCTGCATCTTCAGGGTGCTCCATCATTCCTACATCGGCTTATCCTGAGCCCAGGAGCCGTTTACAATACATTGATGAACTTTGTATTAATGTACTTTTTTTCATTATTATGTAAGACTTCTGTCATTGATGTAGGCACTGCAGTGGGGAAGGGTACTTAAAAACTTTTCACTATATTTTTCATGTAAAAGTATGTTACAATAAATGTCTGTTCTATTGTTTGCCCCTGCTCTGAGACTAGACAGAATTTTTTTTGAAGTTGTGCAAAGAACTGTTCATTTTAAATTGAGACAAGTAATGTGAATGCACTATTTCTCTATGGAACATATAAAAGATACATTAACAGAAGAAAAGCCAAATGCAAAGCACCATAATAGAAATATTAGATAAATTTCCGCTCTGATAGATTTGCATTTCAAGTTTCTTTTAATTTTGATATACTGAGCTCTTCTAGATAACAGTTTTTATTTAAGATTCTGTAAAGGCAGCACTGCTTTTAAACTCAGGATTAAAAATCATTTGTAAGGAGGATTAATGGCAGCTCTCTATTCGTGGCCTTGGATAGTGGTTGGTTCTGTGGCACATCGAGAAGAATCCATTTGCAAAGTTTGTGGTTCTCTACCGTAGAATGGACAGGTAGATGAAAGAAAGAAAGAGGCATAGGTATAGGGCAGCAATGATAGGCAAATGCAATTCTAATTATTTTATCTAATGGAAGCTGTGACAAACTAATATGGAGTTCAGTGTCTAAAACAATAAATTCAGCAGGTTAGCATACATACCGTCAGAAAGAAATACAGTTTAGCTTGGAGATGAGAATGGACAATGAAGTACAAATGGTACAACATATTAATAATCCAAAATGCGATGATATGACACATAAGGAACGTGCAGTCTTAAAGGGAACACATTTAAACCATACACCCAACATTGCTCAGGATCCATCCATCAGGCACGAGTGTTTAGGCATGCTGAGTACAGATGCATTTTATGTTCTACTCAGTTTGCTGCACTGAATTAGTAACGATGTTAGTTTTATCACTATTTCAGAGGTTTTCAAATTGGCTACTGAAATAAAGGATTAGAAATAGCATTAAAGAGCGATAGTACTTGGCCAAACCCAGTATAAAATCCAACATAGAGAGGCTATGAAGCCCAATGTCAGCTGCAATAGTGGTTCTTCAGGTCACAGTATGATTGGAATGTGTATATTCCTCAACCCATGTAACAAGAAGTTACAACCTTCGACTACGGAGTATGCTTTTTTTCAAGAGCCAGGGGTCTCTTACTGCAGACTAGAGGAATAATTAAATAAAATAACTTGAATGATTTAATATCTCCATTAGAATTACTATTAAGACCAGTTAACCTGTTGCATTTAGTTACCTGAATTTTAGATTTTTTATCATCTTCAAAACTGTTTTGTCTCCGACAGGAATTGTCTTGGATAAATTGAAGCCTGCCTTCCAAGTTCTGTTGGTGGAAGTAATACTGAATGAATCAGATCTGAATTTGAAGTCAAATTCATTATGTTGTACAAACGAACAGAAAAGGCTGACTGAAAACTATGTTAAAGGAATTAGCATATGCTAAATCAAATAGTTTAGTCTTAATTTGTTTCATTTTAGCATCAAAACCAGATACTAACCCATTTCTTCAATTCAGCGTGAGCTGAGAAACCCTCATAGAACAATCCTTTCCTGTCTGGAATCAATCTAGTGGACCTCCGTTGCATACCCTTTTAACGCAGGGCATCTTTCTTTATTTATGCTGCAAACTCAGTGTGAAGTCTCAAAACCAGATATAAATGTTCTAAGACTGCCTGATTCTTATTCTCCCACTACCTTTAAATAAAAACCAATATGCCATGTCTTCCTAATTGCTTACTATGTGAAAGAGTGACCCTTGATGTACAAAGACACCTAAATCCCTTGAATAGCAACACTTAATAGCTTTTTACTGGAAAAAAAAGCAAGTTTCTACTTCCTACTGAAGTAACTAACTTTACATTTAACCACACTTCATAACATGCGTCTTGTTGCCCACTCATTTAGTCACTTGCAGATATTAGTTACTTGTCCACACTGTTGCTTCTTCTGGCTGAGGACCTTTCTTTCCACTTCAATCTTGCTTTAGCAAGATGCTGTGTTAAGAGGAGGAAAATGCTAAGCCGAGTATCTGGATTTGAGCAATATATTACTTGTTAAATAAACCCAAGCATAACTCTCTATTTGACCACAAGCTGTCAACTTGTCTTTTATTTAAAACCCCTCTGCTTCGTTGAAAACTTCTCAAAGAGCTCTGCACTTCAAAGCTTTTCTCATAAGCTCACCGTCTCAAAATAAGTGAATACCCGGTCATCTGATACCATTGCTGAAAAGGGAGATGCATCCAATGTTTGATTTGTGCTGTACACTGTATCACTGACACAGTCTTCCTGCAAATAAATGGAAACAATCACAATAACTACACTTTAATAACCATTCTTAAACTTGTAAAATTCCGATGATTCAGGCATTCAAATTGCTACCAATCTTCCAAAGTATTTTTAAAGGGATATGTAGAATCAGTAAACAAGTTATAGAAAAATGACTGCATAACATGTCTAACTGTCAGCAAAGCAATCTCAAAGTTAGGAATGTGGAAATCAATTGAGATTTTGACAAGCCTACATCACAATACAGCACTGAGTTGTCATCTAAAAGAAACTATATTTAGACACTCAACCAACTCCCTAGTTTTCAGCAATGATTTGAAATGCAAATTAGTTCATACAAAGAAAAATGAGCACCACATTTCCAATACAACAAACAAGCATTTAATATAATCAGTTCCTGTAAGCTGCAAACAAAACAAATTCTGATGAAAACAGTCAAAGCATTAGACAGAATGGAAAACTAAAACTGCAGTGCTCTATACAAACAGCACCTTACCATCACATCCAATTTAGATCACAGAAACAAGAACATTCATGCCCTAGGGTACGCTGAAAGATAGTTGACCCTTAACATCATAGGAGAAATCTGGCTGTTATCCAAAAAGAGTTCCAAGAAATGTAACACTAAAATATATTAAACAAGCAGTGTAGAAAGTCAAAATGGTAACTAGTTAACCGAGCTACAGGATCAAGCTAGTGCAAGCCAAATATGGGATGGATTACTAAGTGAGAATCTACAAATGTTGGAAATTCAAATGCAAGTAGTGTCAGCACTGTTGGGCAAAGAAAGTGAATGTAAAACTGAACACTATTTTCAGATGCTGTGTAATCTAAGACAAAGTTTCCAGCATTTTCAGTTATTACCACCAATATCAGGAAGTTGTTTACATGTGTCAGCAAGTGAAATGGTTTTCTGGTGGTAACAATGGGTTGGTTCTGGATCAATATTAAAAAAAGTATACTGATTTTGTGACTAACTATTGATTTGTTTAGTGCAGATTCCCAGGAAGAGTCGGATATAACACCAGTTTGTGTTTTAAAAAAAACAAAAAAAGCTTCTGTTTATTTCTTTCTCACTACACAAAACAAACTCATACTTAAAACAGTTCAGCATGGGTCAACTGCTTATTTAGCCAAAAGTATTCTTTTCAATCACGGAGGAAGTATACGAATTCTTAAACTTCAACAGAGCTATCCTACCTCAACAGGGGCTGAAATTTCAGCAGTTAAAGGCACATGGTCTTGGCCAACATTGACAGGATCAACTTTCATAGGATCGGTTTGTGACTCGGTTCGGTTACACAGTGGTTCCAAAGATCTTCCTTCCTCAAAGTCAAGAGTGGAAGCTCTGAGGGCAGCAGTTAGAACATCCACTTGTGCTGTTGGGTAGAAAAATACAGGTTAATTTTTCATTCATTAATTTTGTAATGTAAGGATTCATAATCTTTAGAAAATGGATATGCTTGATTTATGTCAATATTTCATAAATTTATTGGATTAAGAAAAAAATCTTTGAATTAAGGATTTTTTTAACCAAGTAGCAATCACAACATGATAGGATTTCAAACTCAGCTTGAGGAGAGCGCAACTTGGGTCTCAAACAAGTGACCTCACCTTAAACTACAGAGGTATGAAGAAAGTGGTCTAAAGTGTGCTGGGAAAATGGACTAAAGGGAAAGTCAGTGGTTCAGCAATGGTAGACATTTAGGCAGATATTTCATAATACTCAGCAAAGATCTACTGCAGTCAAAAAGGAGGACTCTATGAGAAGGACAGATACCCATGATTAACAAAGGTGGTATTCCAGTCAAACCTAGTCAAGGATGAAGGGAAACAAAAAAAAAACTATAGGCCAGTCAGTGAGAAAATACTGGAGTACAAAGCAAGAAAGAACAGAACATTTAAAGAAACTCAGCACAGTCAATCAACATTGTTTTGTGAAAGAGAAATCATGGTTAACATATCCTCAAAAAAATCCCCAGCAAATTTAACAGGCAGAGTCGATAAAAGGTAAAAAGGTAACTGATAAATGTAGTGCATTTGGATTTCCAGAAGCTATTTGACAAGCTGCCACAAAAACAGCATTGCTCAACATAGGAGCTCATGGTAATGTATTCACATAGATGGTTAACACACAAGACAGAGATCAGCACTAACAGACCTTTTCAGGTTGGAAAGAAACAAGTAGTTGAGTAGCACATGGACCAGATCAAGCGCCTCAATTCTTTATTACCTATATTAATGATTTGCTTGAAGAGTCACATACAAAAACAGGTAGGTAGCATGTTATAATGAGGGCATAAATCTGCCAGGGTATATGGATAAGTTGAATATTATAGAATCAAGTGGACAAAAAGCTTGGCAGATGGAGTTTAATGTAGGAAACCGTTAAGCAGGACAAATCAAAAGGCAGAGTTTTTGTTTAAATGAAGAGAGGTTTTTAAAAATGCACCACACAGAAGGGTTTGAGTGCTCTTGAGCGTGAAACACAAAGATGCCACAAGTAATTAAAGGTGGCAAATGGAATTTTGGCTTTTATTGCTCGGGGGGGTTTGGAGATTAATAATAGGGAAGTCTTATTACAACTGTACAGGGTGCTGGTCAGGCTACACAAAGTGTACTGTGTGCAGTTTTGGTCTCCACATTATGAAAGGATATACTGGCAGTGGGGACAGTTTGAAAGAGACCCACAGGGCTGATTCCTGGGATGAAGGGGTTGAATTATCAAGAACAATTAAACAGATTAGGCTTTCATTCATTAGAATTTAGGAGAATGAGGGGTGATCTTAATGAAACAAACAAGATTCTGAGGCAGCTTCAAAGAGTAGACGTTAAGATGTTTTCACTATTCGGAGAATCTCAAATTAGGGGACACTCGAGTAAAACTGAAATATGAGCGAATTTCTTCTCCCAGAGGGTAATGAATACCTGTAATTCTGTACGCCAGAGAACTGTGGAGGCTACAATGAAATTTTTTTTAAAAAGAGAAGGGAGATAGATTTGAGAGGGACTGGGTAATTGAGGCCGATGATGAGCTGGCACAAAAAAAAAGCAGAGGCCTGTGACAGGTCAGCTGTGATCTTGTTGAATGGCAGGACAGGTTTGAGGAGTCAAACGGCCTACCCCTGCTCTTATTTCTTATGCTTGTGAACTATGTGATAGCATCGTCTTCAGTCATTGGAGTCATTCGCAGCAATGGTCTCCTTAAACATCCCTGCCTTTTTCTCTTCTTTAGTTAAAGGTTCTCTCAAGAAACCTTATAACACTACTTGCCATTCAAAATGTTTGAGAGCTGATGTCTCTGGCTTTCCATATTTCAGTGAAACACTTGGATTGCTTTTTTTTTTGAAAAGCGCAACTCAAAAGGCATTTCATAAATGGAAGCTGCTGAAACAAAAAAAAGTTAGCTCTGAAAATTCCTTTATCTATTATATTGGATACTTTTGAGTGATATCTCATCAAAAGCATGGGATTAGCTTGTTTTCTTTCCCTTCTAAGGGCGCATGCACTTCATTAGTCATGCTGTCATTTGCTGCTCATCTCTAGTTTGCCTGAGGTGGTGCTGGTTCAGCTGCAATAGTTCAAGACAACATCTAACTTTAGCACAGTAATATTGAAAGAATAGCAATGCGCATCCATGTGAGGATGAGTGTGTTGGACATGGCAATGATCATGCATAAATGCGAACCATGTGTTTTTGGGTGGTGGGTACCATGGTTCAGGAGACTCTGAAGGAGTCAATTTTGACTTGCTTCTACCTTCCCCATTGAAACAAAAGGAGAGTATTACACTGTGCTCCAACCTTGCGTCTCGTCAATAATCTTGCTGATGACTCCCTCACTCACGTACTGGCTACTGGGAATAGACTGGTCACGTAATAATTGGCCAAATTGGATTTGATACACAGGAAATACACAATCAAATTTTTGCATGTTTAGGGGAGGCGATAACAGTGGTATTATGCTAAACTATTAATCCAGAAACTCAACTAATATTTTGGGGTCCCAGGTTCAAATCACACCACAGCAGATGGTGGAATTTGTATTCAATAAGCAAAAAAATCTGGAATTAAGAATCCACTGATGACAATGAAACGATTGTCTTGACCAAAAAACCATCTGGCTCACGTATGTGCTTCAGGGAAGGACATTTGCCATCCTCACCTGGTCTGGCCTACATGTGACTTCAGACCCATAGTAATATGGTTGACTCTCAACTGTTCTGAAATGCCCAGCAAGCCACTCAGTCATATCAATTGCTACTAAGTCTCAAAGAAATGGACAGACCATGGGGCATCAACTTAGGCACCAGAATACACAATGGCAGAAACGGCCCTGTTGACACTGCAAAGTCCTCCTTACTAACATCTGAGGGCCAGTGCCAAAACTGGGAGAACTCTCTCTCAGACCTATTGTCAAACAACAGCCTGACATACTCTCAGAATCTTACCTGACAGACCAAACACCACCATCACCATCTCTGGATATGTCCTGTCCCACCGACGGGACGGACCCAGCAGAGGTGGTGGCATTATGGTATACATTTGGGAGGGAGTTGCTCTGGGAGTCCTCATCATTGAATCCAGATACCATGAAGACTCATGGCTTCAGGTTAAACATGGGCAAGGAAACCTCCTGCTGGTTACCATGTATTGTCCTTCCTCAGCTGATGAATCAGTACTGCTCTACGTTGAGCAACATTTGGAGAAAGCGCCGAGGGTGGCAAGATGGGGGATTTCAATGTCCACCACCAAGAGTGGTTTGGCACCAGCATTACTGATCAAGCTGGTCGAGTCCTAAAGGACATAGCTGATAAACTCTGTCTGTGATAGGTGGTGTGGGAACCAAAAAGGAGAGGAAACATATTGGATCCCTTCCTTACCAAGTTGCTGGCTGCAGATGCATCACTCCATGACAGTATCGTTAAGAGTGAACACTGCACAGCTCTCATGGAGATACACTCCCGCCTTCACGTTAAGGATACCCTCCATCTTGTTGTGTGGCACTACCACCATACTAAAATGGTACAGACTTCCAACTGATCGAGCAATTTGACTGGGCCACGAGGTGCTGTGGGTCATTAACAGCAGAATTGCACTCCAGCACAATCTGCAACCTTATAGCCTGGCATATCCCCCACTCAACTATTACTATCAAGCCAGGGGATCAACCCTTGTTCAATGGAGAGTGCAGGAGGACATACTAGAAACAGCACCAGTATACCTAAAAATGAGGTGTCAACCTGGTGAAGTCACCAAACAGGACTACTTGGATGCCAAACAGCATAAACAGCAAGTGATAGACAGAGCTGAGCAATCCCACAACCAACAGATCAAATCTGAGCTCTGTAGTCCAACCACATCCAGTCACGAATGGTGGTGGACAATTAAACAAGTCACTGGAGGAGAAGGCTCCACAAATATCCCCATCCTCAGCAATGTAAGAACCAAACACTTCAGTGCAAAAGATAAGTAGTATTCGCAGCAATCTTCAGCCAGAAGTGCCAAGTGGATGGTCTATCTCAGCCTCCTCAAATGCAACAGGATCAGGACAATATCCAGTGGGCTGACAAGCAGCAAATAACATTCACATCACACAAACGCCAGGCAACGACCATCTCCAATAAAAGGACAATCTAACAACCACTGAATCCTCCCCACTATCAACATTCTTGGGATTACTATTGACCAGAAATTCAACTGGACTTGCCAGATAAACACACTGACTATAAGAACAGCTCAGAGGCTAGGAATACTGCAGCAAGTAACTCACCTCCAGACTCCCCAAAGCCTGCCCACCATCTACAAGGCACAAGTCAGGAACGTGATGGAATACTCCCCAGTTGCCTGGATGGGTGCAGCTCCAACACGAGTAGCCCACTTAATTGGCACCACATCCACTCCCTCCACCACCGAGCAGTAGCACGCACCGCTGCTGTCTACAAGACGCATGGCAAAAATTTAAAGATCTTTGGTTGCACCTTCCAAACACACGACAATTTCCTCCCAGAAGGACAGCACAGCAGATATGTGGGAACACCATCACCTCCAAGTTCCTCCCCAAGCCACTCTTCATCCTGATCTGGAAATATATCAATGTTCCTTCAATAGCACTGGGTCAAAATCCTGGAATTCCCTCTCCAAGGGCACTGTGGGTCAACCTACAGCATGTGGACTGAAGCAGTTCAAGGTGGCAGCTCACCATCACCTTCAAAGGCAACTAAGGAAAAAAGGTCAATAAATGCTGGCCAGCCAGTGATGCCAATGTCCCATGAGTGGATAAAAATCAAAATATGTGCCAGCAGTTCGACTACTGGAACAGCTTGGTTATGGCTGCATTTTAAAAGCAGAGGATAAAAGGCCGTGCAATCCAATTGTTAGTACATAGTTCAAAGGATCTGTTTTCATAGAACAAATCACAACTTGAAAATTCAAACATTCCTAAAGACTACAGAAACATAAATTTGAACAGTGTATAAAGTGATGCAATTTATGTTGACATTTACAAATTACTTCCACTTTGTGGGTTTTGTATCAGTGATCTGTGACACTGCATTCCACATTAATTCCTCCTTCAAACAAACAAGTT